ATAATATATATATATATATATATATATATATATATATATATATATATATATATATATATATATATATATATATATATATATATATATATATATATATATATATATATATATATATATATATATATATATATATATGAATGCTAATACTTGGTTTTTCAATGTACTATCCCACATATATATCTTCTGCCCTGCAGGTTGTCGCAATCTGTCTTCGAGGCCACCCTCGCATTCGTGCACCCTTAGAATTTCTCACATTTAATTTTGATTTAATACCGTTTACATGAAGTATTGCTATTCACATTTCTACCTGTAACCGTTCAGATAGACGCCATCTGCCTTAGAGGCAACATACCCATTCTTTGTGGAGGCACATCGTACTATGCAGAGGCGGTGCTACAAACGTCTCTCATCGACGAGGAAGATGGGCCACCCGCCGGTATGTTCTGTGTATCAGCTCAGATGTCGTATGCTTGTCGGATATTTCGTATATATACCGTGTTTTTGTATGTGTAATTGTGTCATATGCGCTTGTCGGATGTGTTGTTTGTCTATTCGGTTAAGTTTTTACGTGTCTGATCTGTTAATACGTATATTGCTCATCGATGAGGAGGACTGGACACCAGTGGGAACGTCTTGTTTAAACATAGACATGTCGTATGCTTGTCGGGCAAGTCATGCATTCCAATTGGCGTACCATAAGTGGGTTATCAGCTGCTAAAAGATTCGCACAACTATAGCACAGAATTCACACTGTTAATGGGCACTGTTGACTTGTACTTCTTGTGCCACATAGCTATGTCGAGACCCACGGCCGAGCTATGGAATGCGATATTTATGATGCACACTAAGTGCGTCTACTGTTGGTGAACGTTGCAGACCACTGATCTCTCAATCATGCACATTACGTGGGTTTATTTCCGTAAACTGATATTCACTATAGGGTTCACTTTTGCGTGTCACTTTAGCTGTAAATATACTTCTAGGTGGTTGGTTTTGAATCCCATACTAGTCTTAGGAGATATATTGGTTATGCCAATCCGTTCGCATACGTGTGCTCTCTTTTACTGAATCAATTCCTGCCACATATAAATTTATGTGTGAAAGCGTATCGAAATTTGAATCTATAATTTCCAAACATAAATAAACCTTGACACCAACACAGTTGATCCTCATCACTTAGCCGGAAACGAGCAGGACTACGACTTCTCGACACTACTACGAATTGACCCCGAAGCAGCGGTCAATCTGCACCCAAATAACTCAAGGAAGGTGCGCCGAGCACTGGCTGTATACTACCAGACAGGCATCACGTATACACAGTGGATACAACGCCAACGAGACAGGTGATATTTATATATATATATATATATTCATAAATACAAGTATTCATATATGTACATATATGTATATATATATATATATATATATATATATATATGTGTGTGTATGTAGTAGTAAGTAGTGT